TATCCGTCCGCGCACGCGCGGCTCAGCCGACGGCTCAAAAAAAATAATTCTTTGTTTTGCCACTGCCAACGTCGCGGCCAACGCCTGGCTGCTTTCCCCGGCCGGATTTGTTTGCGCTCAGTCGCCCGCTCAACGGAGTCAGCCCTTCACTTCATGCTCTTCCTCAAATCGCTTATCCTGCAGCCTTCTTTGTAGGAATGATGAGTAGCGCCGTACGGCGGCGGCGGCTGCGGCGGCTGCGGCGGCGGCGTGGAATTGATTAAGATTCCAGTTTGTCGACTGTCTCGGATTTGAAAAACAGGCATCTGTCCTTGGGAGGCGCCCCTTCTATACGCCTTCACCTCACTTCAGTCTTCCACAGCGCAATCTCTTTTTTTTGCCCGGCGTCTACTTAATGCTCTAAGGCGTAGTCTGACAGCTGGGAGTGTCGGCTTACAGTCCTCCACCTCAATAGGGAACTTCTCGTGGTCTTAATCACAGCACAAACCTCCTCCCCTCAGTCACGTCCACCGACTAAATTTGCTCGAGGATAGGTAATCATAGTGGCTGAATAACAACAAGCTATTATTTTGAAAATGTCATCAAGATTCTTGCCTGGTTAACCATAGAAAGAACGGTAAGATGTGGTTATGTAGCCGCACCTGATGGACACAATACTGTGGACCTACTTAATTATTTTGAGTTGGTGTGATTGCATTGGCATAGTGTTGCTGTGGTGAGTTGCGGTGTGTGTGTTCTGTTAGCTGCCTTGTTTCTCTGTTGCCTTGTCTACCTTTTCGGTCCGACGCCGTTGGGCCTTCTTGACTTTCAGCCCGTCGTCTCCTTCTAACTTTCGCGTTCGATGTTTCAGGACTGGGATTTAGGTCTGCGGTTAGGGGTTAAGATTGGGGTTGGGGCTGGGATTAGGGGTTAGCGCTAGGGAGTTAGGGCTTAGGGTTAGGGTTACGGGCTATGGCTAGGGGTTCGGATTAGAGGCTAGAGTTAAGAAGTTAGGAAAACTACTTATCAACCACTCAAAGTACAACCGCGCATTCACAATAGCTTTTCTTTTGCATATAGCTACTTGACCTCATCGCCTGTGCGTTCCCCCGTCCCACCCGTAAAAACCCCTATTACCACCCAGTCCCGTATTACAGGTGTCTGACACTTGTTTGCCTCAGGTGCGAATAAACAACCAAATCTGACCCATAGAACTACTAAGTACTCAGGAGATCGATAATGTGAACACTAGAAGCACCTGTAGGAATCCCCTAACAGAAATCGTATATTCACCCCCCTCTCCTCCCTGTATGAAGGAGCGGATATAGGAAGAGGAGGGACAGTTTTATGATTCGGACAGTATTAGTGGCATTGTGAGTATTTACATCAAGAGACAGTTTTGGGTCCAGGCGGATGGGGAAAGGTTTGGCGTTAGCGTGAGTAGGGTCAAGCTGAGGGAACTTACTGTAACCCTAAGTATAAACTCTTACTGCAACCTTGAGCCCATACTCTAACTCCAAACCTGACCACAATCCTACCGCTAACATAGCACGGTTATATGAGGCACAAGTTTGCCCTCCGACGAACGTAACATCCAAAAATTGAGATAAATGAGTGCTAGGAGTCCATAGAGGTGCTCCCTGTGCAATTTTGTTCTTTCAGAATCTGAGGTTCGGTTAAACCGCTGCAGGTTATAACTATAGACTGGAGGAATTCGAAGGATAATAGCGAGTCTAATATAACTCGGGATTCCTAAAAAGCGATGAAGTATCGCCAAAAGAGGTACCCTGTTTCTGTCTCTGGTGGTGAGGTGTTTTACATTCTGAATCTAGAAAATGATATGAGAGAGAGAAACTTTCCGGCTGTCTCCATGATCAGGTACTTGCCTGATTGAAGAAGGAGAACGGTACAGTAGTAAAATCAACTTGTTTTCTGAACTCTAGAATTCAGATGAAAGTCCGTCATCAGGAGGTGCTGACGGCAACACGGTAAGCGGTGGGCGCAGAAAAGTGAGGGAGACTCACTGAATAGGCTCATTAACGTTCCACTCACCCGTGCAGTATTATGTGGCTATCTCTATACTTTCGACGCTGGCAGCTGATTGGTTAAGCTGTCAAACAGCCAATACTTATTTTTTTTCCTACTGTCATCGATTAATTCGAGTTCGTAAACCGGGAGAAGGAAGGCGTATCGGTGTTCAGTCGGCCTCTTTGTTATTCTGCGCCGTGCATGCTACAGGAGATTATTGTGCTTGTTACTGCACAGTCTGATCCGTTATTTGAGTTACTGTCTCGGTCTGTGTAGCGTAATTTTCAGCTACGGGGCTTTTTTATCGGTTCTGTTACAGTCGCTTTTTCAATTTCCTTTCTTGTCTCATTATGCTTTTAGTGTACAAATTACAACCAATCAACTCGCAAGATGATCTTTGAAAGCCATTACTTCCCGGAAGCACAACCTCGCATACACTGTCTGTGAGTAATGCAGTGACTCTGGCGGTATTTTGCAGTCTCGGCACAGATGTATCGGAAATAGGTAGATGGGGTGGTGGTGGTGGTGGTGGTGATGGTGATGGTGGTGGTGGTCTGAGGCCTGTCGGTTGGAACTTCGCACAGCCTTACTTGCAGATTCAAATGCGATTTTTCTCTCTGACCACGCACAACAGGCTTATTTTCAGACAGTACGATGGCGGCATCGGACGAAGAGATGTGGCCTGCAGCTTGTTTCAGGGAACTGCCTCGTGGGTAATCAGTGTGCTCCAACCAGCGGAAATGATCCTACTTAGTCGCCACGCCGTTTGATTTTGAAACCGAGAGCTCAGATCTCTGATCGGACAAGGAAACATTCTTGGCTGGAGAGCGATGCTGAATGCGGAGGATAACTTCTGACCGCACAAAAGTTGTTTATTCCAACAATAAATCATTTTTACCCCAGGAGGAACTGTTCAAAGGGTTCCACGAAAGCGCTGTTCACTGACCCGAAACTGGTTGCAGGACGGTACACTGGCGTTCCGTTTTGCCTTAAAACTTTCACATGGCAGCGAACAGTAGTTAATCCAGTAGTTAATCTGACGAGGACAGCAGATTTCAATATAATTACATATGTCTTATTGGCCGTTCATAGACCGGTTGTTACAATCCCAGATTTGGAAATTTTAAGGTTTTGTTTTGTCCTATGGTAAGAATAGCTTAGTGGCAAGGGTATGGCTTATGGTCGAGGTTACATACTTCGGGTTGTTTTTACTCAAAAGCATACGTGAACTTGGAACGTTAAACACATACTGGATTCGTCTTGAAGTGTCAGCGAAACATTTCCCAAAGAATAGCCAGGTACATTTCTCGAGTCCAGAAGGAGAGAGCAGTTATACATTTTCAGAACTGTCAACTCTGATTGAGAAAACTCGGGGAGAGAGAGAGAGAGAGAGAAAAAAAGAGAGATTGAGCGCCCGACCCGACGTCATTGAGTCTGCAGTTTGACTCCCTTTTGCAGCAAGCCTTAGTTTCATTAAAGTTATATTTATAGTAAATCATTGACTATTTCAAGTATCCGATGCACAGTCGAATTATACAGTTGCTTAATATGGGTTCGTTTCCTTCTAGCTAAACCGGAGAGACTAAACAGCCGTTAACTAATTATCGCATTCATACATGGACATAATAAAGACCTGTTTGGAAATTTTTTGACTGAGGTATGGTTTATGGTCGAAGTTACTTACTCCGGGGAGCATTGTTGCCAAGCAAAAGAGCTGGACATCTAATAACTTTGTTGTATCACAGATGTTGATCAACCATATTGCCACCAATTAGAAGGGGACACTGTGTTTGCCATTCAATAATAATAGTAAATGCATTTAATGCCCCTTTGCAGGCATTGTCAAAAAGGCATTGCATTGTTGTATTTTTACTCCGATGACAACCTTAAAGCATCTTGACCATCCTCATGTAACAGTCACCGCGAGGCCTTTTTATTTCTTTTCCTCGCACGTGCAACTGAACATCGCCAGTTATTTTATTTTAGCCCAATTGCTCTCCAGAGAAAGTAACCCCAGCTATAAACCACACACTTGCCGTTTAGTTAGTACCACTGACACGGGTCTTTGCGCATTCTTGATCGCAGTTGATAGAACGAAAACCTTACGTTAGCTGACAGAGCTGGTAGACGAACAACTGATTGAATCGGGCTTCAAACTTGAGGTCTTCTTGGTATGCGATTGGGGAGTGACTTGCTGAAACATCAAATAATGCATGATCAAGGAATTCAAAAGTGAAGGAGTCTTAGGAAGGGCACGTTTACTTTTGTGGTTTTTTGAAAACAAAACCCTTCCGCTGTCGAGTTTCTGATAGCATCCTACCCCGGAGCATTTAACGCCATGTGTGATCGCGCAGACTCGATGATAATTTTAACCATTCGGAGGAAAGGCCCACTCAGAAGACAAATATGCGATCACTGGAACACTGAAAGGTCCACTATTAGCCATCTGCGTAGACCATCTCTTTACGTCAAGATTCCACTGTATAAGGAGACCAAATTTTCAGTCGAGTCTTATTTCGTAGCCTTGCCTGCAGTAGACAAGCCCCAGCCGCCTGTCATACGGGAACAGTGGGAATAGGGGGTTTAACCCTCACCCCTACTCCCAACCGATGACCCCTAACCCTAACACTAACTGCTAACCCAAACCCCTAACCCCTAGCCCTAGCCCCTAACAGGTAGGGCTACGAAATAAGATCTTGTCAAATTTTCTTCTAATCTAGAAGAAGAGGAAAAAATTCCCAACGTTGTTCCCCTACTCCATGTTTTGCATGCGGACTCTTCTCCGGGTATTAAGGTACTAATACAGTCTTTGGTGTAGATTGCCCATCTGTTCTTATCATTTTCTCCCGTACGGACTGATTAAAACACAATTTGGCATAGTGGGTCATATCCCATGCCTAAATTGTTTTTGTAATTAAACAGGCTAGACTGGACGTATGCTAGGAGCGCCCATACACGGACATACGCCAGTTATGCGACGGGGCGACGGGTCATCACAAGTGGATTCGCATACCGTCGAAATGCGTCATGAGTTCAATTTCGCAGCCGCCAGGGTAAATGCGCACGCGAGAGGCCGAGAGTTCATTGAAGTCCGGGCCTATAACGAGAACTCAATCGATCGACGTATCGACCTCTCGCCCGCCTATAGAGCCCTGAGCAGCCGCCTCCGGACCTGCTACACTGGTCTTTTATTGGTCCATACGCCCCCCCCCCTATAAATACCACTTGCTTTGTTCCTATTGGCGCCTCCCATGATAGGCCTTTACACGATTTTGGAATCTCAAAAAATGAACAAGTGGTCCCGATGCTCGATCATTGTCCTCCTTTCCTACTCTTATGGTCTGTTACCTATAGTTGCTTGTCTTTAAAAAATGCCCATAATTTTCAACAATCTTTTGTTTTCTTAAAAATTGGCAGTGGGTCACGTCTGGTTGATATTTTGGTCATTTGTTGGCATCGCTCCAGCCGCACACCTGTCGCACCTGTTCATGGATATGAGCAAATCAGCGGGGCATTATAGACCAAAAAGATAACACCGTCGCACTAATCGGTACATTCCTCGGATCACGTTGGTCATCCTTTGCAGAATACTTTGCCTGCCTGGATGCCACTCATCTTCTCAGATTCGGCGAAGGCAGTTATCCCTGGTGGGCTTTTGAAATTGAGCCGCCATTTTTTCTGCCCGCCATGCCCATGGGAATTTTCGTACATGTGTGCAGCTGTTGGCCTATTTTGCTCATTATATACCGATTTTATCCCTCTTATTTGCCTGAGCTACAATAATGAAGTCATCTGCACATTACGCTACTACCGTTTCGAAGGAAGTCAAATCTGACGCGAATTTAGAGACTCATTTACCGGCGAGTATTTGTAATGCACACAGCTGCAGTTTTCAGCCATTAAATATCGCTTTTGGTCGTCTGGTGTTATCTGCTTTACGTACCGATTTCTGTTCACTGTGAATGGAGCCGTTTTTGTTGAAAATGTCAGAATGATACTTCAAAATAAAGCGTATCTCCCTCTATCTCTCTTGTTCATGCACTTGTCCCAGGTCCACGTCGAGGGCTGATTCTGTGCCCGCTGATAAGGAATCCATGCAGAAATCCGAAAGGTCTGTACGGAGTCCTTGACTTGTCCTTGTTGCATTCCTTTTGCCCTCTTTGATTATCAGTTTGGTAAAAAAAGTTCCAAGGAGCGGCATACACCAAATGGAGCGAAAGGATCAATCGGCAATGTAGGAACCCCTCCTCTGTCAGTCCGTCCATTGAAAGCGACGGCTTTTGCATGCGGTCTTACTCGGTTGGTTCACATATCAACTGTCTTACCTCCATTTTACCTGCTTTCACATCGTCTGCACGAATGAGATGCCAGCATGCGAGCTTCGCCGAGATAAACTTTAGGTCGTCAGTAGCTACGGGTTCTCTCCTCGTATTAGAATGATCCCGGCAAAGATTGAATTCAGCAATGCCTTGAAGATCTACACGAAGCTCTGTCTGATTAGCAGGGACGTATCGTCAACGCATCTGACCCAGGACTATGGGGTGGGGATTAAACATGAAGATCAGTTGCTTGAACCCCAGGAAAACAGTTTCGAAACCTAATACAGACAGACGCTGACCCATCGGTCTGCCCTTAGCGTGCTCGTATGTCTGGCTGTTGAATATGAAGAACGTCCTTATAAACAATTCTAGAAGCTCGACAATATGTACTACTTTGAACTTTTGTTCAGTCTCATCATACTTAACCCGACACGGCCGTCAAGATTGTTGACAGCTAGTGCGGGTGATACCATAAGCTTTGAGCTTTTTAATGCGTGACAGATGCAACTCCGCCGACTCTACTTTCAACTGTGAATCCTTTGTAAGTAAACGAAGTCACTGACGACTCGAAATTTGGAACGCTACGTAAGGAGACGATAGTGCGTATGGGTACTCCCGGTTTGTGGACATTAAACATAACTTAGAAGCGCTCCATCGAGAAATCAGAAGCGCGTGTCACACGCTGGCCACTCCTAACTTTACACGCACCGGGTTTCCATAATGGATTCCCGACCTCATACAAATGTGAATTCTGAGCAGAGAAAAGTTACCTCGTCGGCTGTTAACCTTCTAAACCAAGAATGCGGGAGTTTAGGGAAAGATTTAGGGTGCAGTTGGTGATTTATGGCTAGAACGTAAGTTTGTCCACTCTTTTCTCCTCCTCTCTCTCTCTCTCTTACTGCGCGTCAGTGACTTTCCGAATCAAGTCGGCTGGAGATAAAATCAGGTGCAATGGTTGAATAGATGTAAAGCCACTGAGAACCAAGGACACTAATTTTGATTAGCTAGACGAGGCTGTTGAGGGGTCATTGAAGCCTAACCCTACATCTGGAGGCAAACCGATTTGCAACGCCAGATCATAGTCCTAAACATCACGACAACCTGCACACCGTGATGATTTAGAAGTGTGTTTGATTATTTATAAAGGGACAACTAACTGTTGAGTGGAAGTCACTCTCCTCCCTTGCCTATCCCACGCATTAGCGGCCCGTTGGACTTAAGCCAATCGATGATGAGATCGAAGGCGGAGATTGATGCCATTAAGGCCTCCGTATATTGCGTGCCAGGCGCAAGCTGACATCTAAAGCACGCAGGAAATGACAAGAAGTCGTATTAGGACCGACAGTACGCACTTACCCGGCACTGTAGTTTGACCACCGCATGTGAGGAGGTCCGCTGCTGTACCTCGAGGAGAACGCAAACCGAGACATGTGCAGGACTTGGACAGCATTGACCTCATTCCCTCTTTCCACATCCACCACCCTCGGATGACTGGCGATAAAATCAGGTGCGATGGTTGAGTAGACGTGAAGCCACTGAGAAACACGTGCGAAACAAGGGCACCAATTTTGATTAGCTAGAGGAGGTCGTAGAGGGGTCGACATCGACATCAGGCTGCAACGGTGTACCGCACGCGACCCCGACTCCAAAGTCCGCAAGTAGCGGGACACAGTCAGGGGGTTACAAATCTCACGTAGGGGAGGAAACAATAAAAGCCATGTTTGGAATGCGCAATTTCAATTCGATTTGAAATTCTGAGTAGCACCGAGTTGCATACAGTAGATGTGATAACTCATGAAATGTTAACCGAAATCCTAAAATGCGTTTCCGGCTAGAAAAGGTTACTTAACTAGGGTTGTAATAGTAACCACTGTGCAGCATGATCTCCGTAATAATTCAGTTATTTCAGGGTTCCGGCTTTTAAAGGAACTTCTTTCCGACCGTCTGTAAAAACTGCACTCTGCAAAAAATGACTGCTTAAGTAGCATGCATTTTTCCCATTCAAATATATTTCATCAAAAACATGTACAGAAATATTCATCCCTTTTATTATTTGGTGGAAAACTACGTTTCTTCAAATCTTCTATTTGAAGAAAGAGTATAATTTGCTTTTAAAAAACTTCCAATTCCCAGATAATTCTGAACCCGACCTGGCGTTACATTTGCATTCAGGGTTTCCAAACTACAGAATGCATATTTTCAGTATACAGAAAATCATACATTTCTAAACGGTATTAAGGGGAGACCATATGTGGTTCATAAAATTTAGCAGTGGATTTGAGTCATATTGTAAACTTTATAAGCAACATTGGCAAATGCAGAAACATGATATTTATGAACGGGCATTTCACATTTTTAATAAATCTTATAATTAGAAACTTTCTTAAAACCGAATTATACTCTTTCTTTAGGCATAAAATTTGAGGAAGCCGGATTATTCCACCAAATGAGCAAAATAAGTAATATTTTTCTACATGTTTTCTTTGAAATATATTCGAATTTATAAGGGGATCGAAAACCAATGGGAAAAATGCATGATACTTTAGCAGTCATTTTTTGCAGAGTGCAGTTTTTACAGGCGATCGGAAAGAAGTTCATTCAAAAGTCGATACCCTGAAGTAACTGAATTATTATGGGGATTGTGCTGCATATTGTTTCATATTACAACCCCAGTTAAGTAATCTTTTCTAGCCGGAAACGCATTTCAGAATTTCGGTTAACCTTTCATCTAACACGCATCTACTGTATGTCGTCCGTTGGCAGCCTTCCAGATCACGACTGTTTACGCATAGTGATAGGTTCAGTGAACACATAATTATCTGGTGTGAGCGAATGAAGTACGTGTTTCAGGTCTTCTGCCATCCACGTCGCAGTGGTTTGTCTGGATCAGGTCTGGTTGGGGATTGGGCACCCAAACTGACGCGAGGGCAGTTCTCGCGGCCTTGATTTCAAAGGGGGAAGATGTACTACAGGAGGTGATCAGGTATTCGCATGAGAAACAATAAAAATGCAGCAACCAATAAATTATACTAGTATTTTGTGCGGCTTCCTTTTGTTTATAATCGTTTCCTCAAAGGAGCTAAAAAACCCTTTTTCTAACAGTTCCCACTTACAGAACGAAGACGTCTTTGGCACAAATCAGACTCCGTCCCTATTGTAAAATAACACATCAGTTTTACATAGGTAGTTTGGCAGATTTTGAATAATTCCTATTGACCCAACTGTGAAAAACTCGGCGCCTCGGTGGGATTCAAACCCACGCAGTTGGGTCAATATGAATTATACAAAATCTGCCAAAATACCTATGAATTACGGGAGCCTAGTAGTCATCTGGTAAATTCTAGGTGAATTACTTAGGAAATCCTGCTTGGGCAGTCAACTTACTGTATTAGATTTCGTGGATTCCAGACGTTGCAGTAGGTTGGGCCGATAACTTGACCCAAATGTGATTAAACTCGCGTCGTCCGGCGGGGTCTCGTAGCTCAGGTGGTTGGAGTGTTGGCTGCGCTAAAGCCTTCCTCTTATTGTCATGGGTTCGAATCCCACCGAGGCGCCGAGTTTTTCACAGTAGGGTCAATATGAATTTCGTCATTGCTACCAAATCAGGCGGCCGTCTGCTTTGTTGACTTCGGCGCTGCATTCGATCCCATTCATCGTGAGTCCCTGTGTTGAACTAGATGAGATGCCGGCCAAAATCTTCGCCCTGATCAAGGCCTACTACCGTTCAATTATCTCGCGAGTCCTAATCCAAAGCAGTCTCTTCCAGCCGTTTAATATTCAGTCTGGCATTCGGCAGGGTTGCATTCTGTTGCCCATTTAGTTCAACTAGGTCATTGGTCGGATTCTTGGGAAAGCCATACGCGAAGTTGATGATGTTGAGTTTGTATCCGGTCGCCGGTTGACGGATCTCGGCCATCCCTATGGTATCGCTTTGCTAACTCCGGGCTTTGGCTGGGACCGATAAGTTCGTCGGCTTATCCATAAACACTAGAAAGACCAAAGTGTTTTCAAGCTGCATCCCCGACCAGGAAAAGGCACCTTTCGAGATTAGTGGCTGTCAACTTGAAGATGCTACATGGAACAAATTAAGGACTTCATTGTCTCCCGAATCGAAGCTGTTTTCTTAAGCCTTCGAAAGTGTCTATGGACCAGATACGACATCTCTATCGCTACGAAGAGTCGCGTGTAATATGAGTCCGTCTGGTCAGTCCTTATATGCGGCTGTGCTCATGGAAGATGAGCGAAAACTGGAGGTATTCGATCACCACAGCTTGGAGGCCATCCTCCGAGCGAAGTACACAGACTTCGTCTCAAATAAGACAGCACACACTTGCTGCGACATGGCAAGGATATCTCAGGCCATCCGGAAAAGACGACTGAGGTGGCTCAGGCATAGTCTTCGTCGTCCACCTCAGGAGCTCAGTGTTGCTGCCCCCGACCGGCACCCTCCCCCGCTTAGAGGTGTCGAAGAGGGGGTCAAATCAAAACCCGGCTCGATGCAGCCCGTCATGGTATTGAAGTAGTTCTTGGACCTTCCGTATTCGGCTAAGAGAATGGGCTTGGCTGTCCAAATCTACTGCTGGCCATCGTCACGCGTGGGGGAATACAGTCCGCGACACTATCGGGGCCGGCTAGATCTGACATGGTCGCAACCTTACCAGGTACAAATAAGTATGCAGTATGAGCCCCATTTTCCCCTGATCCGTACATCAATGGCCTGTCCAAGTTTTCCGGTAGACGAGAGACGAGATCGGACACCGTCTAACACGCGTCGGGCTCATCTAAGGTACTGGTATAGGACTCCCGTTGACTCAGCGTTTAAAGACTAGCACATGCTCTCAGTCACCATGACCCCTATGTTCGTCTAACGCAAAAGCCACGTATAATTACGGGAGAGGAAGATTGCCCTTCCAGTGTTACGGGGAAAAAGAAGCCGCAGTTTGGTAAGAACGATAGAGAAACATCAGGCGGCAATGAAATCCTCGCGAAAGGTGACAGCCGCGTGAGCTGCGTACTGATCTAATAATGGTTCTCAGGGCTGCAATCAACAAACAAGAGCAATGACCTCCAGTTACCTTATTCGGTACGGAGGCATTCCCTGGGCAGAGGAGTCAATCACATGGGGAGGGCGCGGGCGAGCGGCAATCCCAGTGACAGAGAGCCAAATTTCCGAGGAATCACCACGCCAACATCCAACACTGATGGTGAAATTGCAGTGATTAACTACTCGGACGCGGCCTGGCGATCCATCATCGCATAATTTACGACCCCTAGTGGTGATTGCGAGTGCTGTTGGTTATAGTACGCCTGAGGTTCCACAACAGCTGTTTACTATAAATACTGCAGTCTTTGTACCTCTATTACCCTTATGTGGGACTGTCTCTGATGATAGGCTCGAGTGAGAATCTGAAACGTCGGACCAATAAACTTCTTGTTCCAGTGACCACTTCATCATCATCATCATCATCATCATCATCATCATCATCATCATCATCATCATCATCATCTTCTTCTTCTTCTTCTTCTTCTTCTTCTTCTTCTTCTGAACTCTCTCTCTCTCCTGGAACCCCCTGTTCGCGTATATCGACAACCAGGTGGACGCACAAGTTAACGTCTGCAGAGATATCGGGGCAGCTATTGACAAGAATGGACTAGCTCGATATAAGCAAACAGTATACGCTGCATAAATATTACTCTTTGCTTATTAACTCGAGCTCGAAGCATCGGAAAAATTCGCCCGTCTTCTCGGTGATTAGCAGTCTTTTTATTTTCACCCGGAAATAATTTTATTGTATATTCCCGGTTGAAACCGACAGGACAACGGGCCCGTGGCCCAGTGGTTAGAGGTGAGTTCGAGCCCCAGGTGTTCCACACTTTGGGGTTGAGTACGACTGGCTGACGACGGCTAATAAGCCAGAAATGGCCATTCCAGTCTCCCTTGTCTTTGTTGGTAACAACACTGCCTATAACCTGCGCCGCTGTGCGGCTGCTGGTTGGACTCGAGAGAGAGAGAGCCCGTAAGGCACAACGGAACGAGTGAGTTCCGTAAGAACGACCGATGAGCGCCCCTCCGCCAATTTCATAACTTACATCTACGCGATTCCCCTCCCCCCCCCCTCCAAGCGAAGCTGAGGCTGCTTTAGACGCCTGAATCTGCTGCATTTGCGGAGACCGGGTTCCACTTCGGACAATTTGCCTTTTGTATCCCTCGTAGACTGCTCAGATAAAAATGCTTGAAAATGTTTGTTTCCCGCCGGAAGACTGCCAAAGTCTGGGAGCACGGGGATCGGTGAGATGTCATTGTACTGAATCATCTTCACAGAGAAGTATTTTCCACGGCAATATTGCAATCTGAACGAACTCATGTCCTCGGCCTGTCCAACGCTGCACACGCTGAGGTCAACTTAATCCTCGATTTCAATATTACATCACATCTTATCCCCGAAATAGGTAAACATACCTGTGATGGCGAGACGCTCACAGTTCATTTTACTAATGACCTGGTAAACTGTACGTGGTTGCTATTAGTTGCGATATCGCGATTGCGAAATGACAAGAAGCTTACATTTCGAGCGTTCTTGAATTGGCAGTTCGGCCGTCGTTTCCGACGATGTCCAGCACGTGCCCCACAGTAGGGTAGGCGCAGGAACGGCGGGTTGCGCGCGAATTAATTTATAGTTAGAGTAGTTTGGAGCAGCATCTACAGCTCTCTCTCTCTTCTCCTCATTCACCAGAGGCCAGTGTCAAGACAGAGTCAGGAAGACCGGAGGTTGGGATCGAGCGCATGTGGCTGACACTGTGTGAACCTGCGCATAGGCGTGCCGCCACACTCCTGGCCAACAACGTACGCTGGCAAGGATTTCACATAAAAACAGGAGAGGCAGGGCGGCTCAGCTTCCAACTGAGCGGCAGTGTCATAGAAGTCACAACAGTAAGAGGGGGCCGTTGCAGTCTGATTCTCAGTCCTGTTAGAAGGACGGCGCTCTCCCGTCAGTCGCCGGCCTTCCAAGCCACAGATTTTGGCTCACCGTGATAGTTTGAGGGCGCATCACATTGTGTATAGTGAGGAATAGGCGTTGAAAGCGTCAATCTCTCTCCCTCTCCCCCCAGGCACCAGTCGACTATCCAAGTCGGTCAATTGTCTGACTCGAGAATTAGGTGCGGTGACTGATGGAGCTGAACATATCCCGTCTGCGAGTGCCACACACACACGACCTGCCTCCACACACAAAACACACTAGGACTTCACACAAGAGGAGGTGGACGGATCAGAGCTCACAGGGACCTCATTAATGAGGAGCCATCGCAGCCTAAATCCCAGTCCACCGCTGCACACAAGGGGCCGACTCTAAGCGCTGAGTTGGAACATCACTCGACAGCCTCCCGAGCCACGACTTTTAGCGCACTGCGATGTCTGAAATCCACTGCAATTTTGCTGTCATGGCCATGATCAATGGTGCACTCATCGGTGTTTAAAATATGTCACACTCGCCTCAGGAAACACTGAAGACTTCGCATCCCCTCGCAGACTGCATAGTTTATCAACATAGCTGTGGTCGGACCCTGTCCAGGTCTGTTATCATTATGTTCATTAGTGCTATGGAGAAAATCAGATGGAAATGGTTGGGAAAGTCTAACCACCCCGACTTATACCAGGAATCCTAGAACGAGCTGGCTAACGGCGGCTAATAGGCCAGACATGGCCATTGCAGTCTCCTTTGTCGGTCAGATCTTATTTCGTTGCCATACCTGCAGTAGACGGGCTCCAGCCTAATCCCGAGGCTCGAGAGAGAGTCCCAAGGCACAATGGGACGAGTGAGTTCCGTAACACGATCGGTGAGTGCCTCTTCACCAGAGCAAGCCCCGTTTGATTATTCGCTTCTGAAAATTCTAGCCTCGTTGTCACTGTTGGGTGATGGCGCAGGATTCACAAACTTCAATGAAGGTTAGAGGCTCTGAAGTTTTGGGAGGCATTTCTGTTTCCTGTGTTGGGGACTTATACCAGACCAACCAGGCCAGTTAATGTAGTTTACGGGTTGGCGCACTCACATCTTGACATTTTGCCCCCCCCCCTCCTGTCCAACAGCATTTGTCGTATGAATTATTCTACGTCCCTTAAGGCATCCAAGCCATCCCTTTGATGGGTATCTTGGTTTAAGTTTTCGGCAGGATTTTTCTTGACAATGTTTTGCGTGAACTAGCCGTCACCGTGCCACAGGTCATCCATCAGACACGACGATGGCGTTAGAGGCTCTGAGGTATTGGGAGTCGTTTCTGTTTTCTGTGTTGGGGGCTTATACCAGACCAACCAGACCAGTGGATGTAGTTTACGGTTGGCGCACGCACATTTGAACATTTCGTCCCCCTCTGGCCAATGGCATTTGTCGTATGGGCTGTTCTACGTTACTGGAGGCATCAAAGCCATCCCTTCGATGGGTATCTTGGTTCAAGGTTTCGGCAGGACTTTTCCTGACAGTGTTTTGCCTAAACTAGCCGTCACTGTGTCCTGCTGTGGTCAATCTCTACGGGTGTACCATGAGAGACAGGTCGTTCATCAGACACGACGATGGCAACCAACGTTCCGGGAGGGGACCGGAGAGTAGTGGATTCGTACATGGCACTCGCTCCTCACTTCTCTCCACATTCACCAAATTTAAACATTTCCTCTTTTGCGTATTTCAACTTTGCTTGCACAGTTACACAAGCAGATTAGTTCATTCCTTTGCTTCAAGCATCACTACGTCATCTTTTCCTTGTCCATGCGTTTCGCCGTTGTAATTGCCGAACCATCCAACGAGTGTTTTAAGAGCAATAACAAAAATCTTCTTCAAACAGATCGTAGTACGCGAAATATCGATTATTGTTTCTTACATCCGAATGCAGATGGAGAGACAATGGCAGTTTAAGTTCACTCGACATAATCTTTTTTACGGACACATTCAGACTGACGAAGACGCATTGCGGAGGAAGGTCGAACGTGTTTACTTCTGTAGGAGGCACAGTGCCCTTGATGTTCAGATCTGGCTAAAGTTGACCGACATGAATTTGCTGGGGGAATTTATCATTTGGCGTATACCGCTTGCAGCGTAACCTATTCCCTAAACTTTAAAACGAGATGGTACGTTTTCTGTCCACTTTTCGCTGGTGGGGTCTGACGGGAAAATAGGGTAGCCTCTTCCCCCTCCCCCCCCGTCCCATTGGTCGACACATTTCCTTCCCTTGCTCTGTATCACTCCACCTCCTCCTCCTCCTCCTCCTCCTCCTCCTCCTCCTCCTCCCTCTCACCATCATCACCGCCGCCGAAAAACCAGTAACAGTCCCACCAACTGATACTGTTATTACAATGACTACGACTGCTATTCGTCCCCTTCTCCCTGTCTTTCCTCTGCCCACTCGCCGTTCTCAGTTGTACTCACAACCAGATACTAAATCGCCGCCTTCAGGTCCCAGAAACAACTCCCCCGTCCACCCCCCATGAACCTCACCTCCATCCCAGGCAGACGACAGAGATGTTAGCAGACTGAAAGCAGGTTTAGACAGGTTTGTATGCGAGCACAGACAAATGAAAGACGGGTGGAGATCCAACAAAGTTCGCTCTTCCTCTCCTATCTCGATGATGTTCACCGTAGTGTGTGGTTGTCGGAAGATAGAATACTGGTTTCAGACACAAGAGCGGCAGTTCAAAGAGCTGTGTACTTGAGAGGAGGAGGAGGAGGAGGAGGAGGAGGAGGAGACTTCGTTTTGATCTGTTTCGGTAAGGCTGCAAGGGCGGGGGAAGGGGACACTTGAGATAACCTATAGAAGAGAGGCCAGCATCAACTGAGTCTGAGCAGAGGGGGGAGGGGTTGTGAAAGGTTCAGGCACTCCTTGGCAAATAACAAGAATGAACACTGTTCTAGACAGGGGGGGGGAGGGCCAGTGGGTGAATTCTCTGTCAGAGCGATGACCATCTAGTACCCATCAAAACACCGAATAGAACCGTGTCTTCTTTCAGGGTCGCCTTCGTGGGTTGAACCTCAGCGAAAAATCCAGACCTGGTTTGCTGAAAGCCCTCACAGTGCGATCTTTGTTTCCGATCGAACTCTGCCCCATTTGTGGCAGATAAATCACTCAGTAGCAACTTATTATTGTTGTTGAAGGCACGTTTTTCAGGGATTTTTACACGAGATCTGAGCTCCTGTTCATCTTCCGTGCTGACATTCTTGATAAAAAAAACGGTTTGAGCCAGTGGTCTAGTTAAAAGTTACATTCATTGACAATTAAATGGCACGGAAAGAGGTAAACGGCATGGTAACTATCTTTAATATTCGGCGCATTGTTTCAGGGACTCCATAGGTCGTGCCCGGCTGAAGTAATTAGATGTAAACAAAATCAGAGACATACAGTTGATGCATAGTTGTGGTCGATCATCAGTATGCCTTAGATCCTCCCCAAAACGAAGGTTGCGGGCCTCCTAGACTCTGACCTTTAAACGGAAGTTGTCAAGTTTCCCGCCTACGACCGACAAGTCAGAAGAGCATTTCTTTGGCAGCCTCGATTGCTTAAACGATGGCGGTGGGAGGCAGAATGTTAAAACACGAATTGGGATCAAAATATCCCTGTATAGCGTAATGCAAATACGACGGATAGACCGTCGTGAAAGAATATTTCCACCATTTGTAGCGCAGCCTGGCAGGTGCAGAGACGGCTTCTTGCGCGTGAACTGGTTTATATCGGTTATGGACTTACGCTGCATCAACTGCACTCTCTCCTCCCTCACTCAACTGAACCCGGTATTCAGACAGACTCGAGAAAACCAGAGACGGGCTGAGGCGCAGCGACTGACAGAGTTAAAGGCCCAGCTTTCTCGTGTCGCACACGCACACGCCTGGACGGCGGAAAAAGGAAAGGGTGGCTCGGATCCCATCTGAGTAGAGGCCCCATTGGACAGGAGCCATTTCAGCCTGACTCTCCCTCCGGAGAGGAGGGTCGCGTTATCCCGTCAGTTAAAAGCCTTCCAGGCCATTGCTTTTAGCGTACTGAGATAGTTTAAGATAATTTATATCATCCTCATCAGTTCGACCGTCGAAAACGACGATTTCCACTGAGCGCGGTTGGCGCAACAGCGGTGACTTGCGTATGAAATACTTTATATCGATAACAGCCTTGTATAGCATTTATCACACTCTTTCCTCTCTCTCTCTCTCTCTCTCTCTCTCTCTCTCTCTCTCTCCCACCTGGGCCCGATGGCATGACAGGGTCAGGGCGACCACGGATAGACTCGGACACGGCCTGTCTACGCGTACCACGCACAATCTAGTCCGGCAAAATGTGCCGGGATTTCACAAGTAAAGAGGGGGCGGCACCCCTAACGGGCCTAAGTAGTCATGAGCAGTTTTCTGCAAGCTCAAGCCAACATCTCATATTAGCCCTCTTCTGATAAGATCTTTCTGTAGAACAGCATTCTTTAGTGGCTTTTGCTTCGCATTTAAATGAAAGACATCCAACC